ATTCATGAGCCTGAGAAATTCTGCTGTCAGGTCTTGTATGGATGATTTTTCTGAACAGTCCAATTTCGCCAACAGTCTTGTGCGTAGTTCTGCGTCATCTGGAGATGTCAAGCCAGCGACGAAAATCAACGATTTGAATTGGTCGCCGGTGATTTCTTTCAGTTTGAAACGTTCACGCTCTCTGTTTACTCGACCCGCGTAAGAAACTGTCTTCTTCCGGATTCCGTGTTATTTTGAGACAATTGTATCGTATGTTGAATAGTGGCGATTGTTTACCAAAAATAGAGCTGAGTTTTGACACCGTTTCCTGTAGTGAAAAATCGCGAGGCTGCTGTGGCTAAATGAAATTACAATATCGAGTGTGCTCTGAAGGCCCCAACGTCTGTATTAGTGAACGCACTTTGGTTTGCTCATCTAGTGTTGCGCCGTCCACCAGGAAAATGTCTTCATATCTTCTGTACCATGACGTGAACGCAATACCACTTTCTGCGTCGTAAATAAATTCCTGTATACTGGCAGCCAGTGATTCTTTCAACTTTGTTGCAGATGGTTGTTCATTGTTGCCAACACTCCCAGAAACGAGCCGCGCTGCTAATAACTCCATCATCTTTGTTCGGCGTTCTCGCTGCTCCATAAATGACTGTTGCTGTTGTTGCAAAAGTTTGATGATCTCCGTGTGATGCTCCATTCCCGTCGTCAAGTTGTTATGACCCGTCTACTGGGAGGCACAAAACAACCGTTTGATGAGTGGATCGCTTAGTGCATGAAATTGTTAGCTTACGGGCCTATCTCATGAAAGGGATCGATGAGGTAAAATCGATACCAGAGTGAGCATGAGCCTTGTCAGATAACGGGAGCAAATTCAAATGTTCTGTGACATATGCGAACGTGCGTGTGTGTGCATGCGAATGGCGCCAGCTGACTGTATGTTTACCTTCCCCCCGCAAATCGAAATCGACTCATAAAATTCTTTGTAAGGATCAATTGAAAGTCTTCGAATAGGAGGCCGTGAACGCGTTGAGTGCCTCAGGTGAACAATGTTTTCAGAATTTGGTTGATCAGGTGATGTCGTTCTCTTCTCCGTCACCGGTAGCTCGAATGTATCCAAAAGTACGTCTAATGGTATTTTTATTCCTTTTTTCTCCGTTTTCTGATGTGGTTAACATGTCGTTTGACCATGATGTTGCCTAACCGAATGCTGTACAAAACATGTCCCAATCGGTTCACNATTTAAAACACCTCGATTTTCAAACGAGAGGTCACAATTCTACTAGGAGTATGTACCAGAATTATTCATGTTCCGCAGATCCAGCTTTGAAACTGCATCTGTGTACTGATAAGAAATGGGTTTCGAAAATGAACACAGCTTCCTCGTTAGCAAGTGCAACGAAGTTGATTCAAGTGATACAGGTGATAACCATATGTTCAATATTTGGACTGTAAGGCAATAGGTCACAATACTACAAAGAGCATCTACCAGATTTATTTGTGTTAAACAGATCCAGTTTTAAAGCTGAATCTGTGTAATGATATGAAATCGGTTTAGGAAGTGAACACAGCTGCCTGGTAAACATGTGTCAAGGGGTTGAGCCAATTGATACAGGTGAGAACCATCTAAGTTGTAGTTGGATTTTGTGGGAAGAGTATGTACCAGAAAGAATTATGTACCAGAGATACAGCTTTGAATCTGAATCCATGTACTGATAATAATTGTGTTTAGTATGTTCTAGCAGGTTGAATCTTCTTGGTCAACCGTAAATCTTGGTCATCAGTGCATTAATTATAAATAATTATTCTTACTACGTTGCAAGTTGGTACAGTATATTTTGTATACTGCGATTTCTCGCAGTCGCCTAATATTCAAGCCGGTTTTCACAAGCTGGTGATTGGTCGTGAAGATTGTGCATTTGGGCGTTTCAGATAGAGCTAGAAATCGACGGATATGATTTCTAATCGTTAAGCAGACGGTAGTTGCCTTATTTCGACTGGAAGTTTATTCCAGAGGCGTAAATAACAAACTAGGAAAACGTTCCGTCGGGCGTTCCTTCTATCATTATGTAATGGGAGGACATTTATGTGATTACGAATGGGGTTTGGTGGAACGAGCTCAAATCGGATTTCATCTGCCGAATGGACCCGCTGAAACAGCAATCCGTGGAGGTTGAGCTTTGCACGGCGTAACCATAGGGGGTCAAGTTTTAAGAGGAGACATCGCTCCATGTAGTTCAGGTCTGAGGTCCAGCCAAAAATGTTTTTTGTAAATCTTCGGTGGACGTTCCCTATGGCTACTCTATCTAGCTTTCTCAAACTGGAGTACGCCATTGACGAAAACTCTAATAAAGGCCTAGTGTGGGATTTGCACAAAGTGATTATGCTAACAAGGAGACAGAGTCCTACGGAAGAGGTTTATTGAGCGTCTAGCCTTGGCTACTTGCATTGCACAGTGCACAATCTCGACGTGCGTCATTTTGGTAATCGATTTATTTCGCCGACAAGTGCATGGTGCGCGACGAGCCTTGGAAGGCTCACACAAAAGTAATTTTCGGTGAGAATTTCCCAAAAGAAATTATTCCACCCTTCGAGATTACTTATTTGGGCAGGAACAAAACATGGTCATCCTTGTCGGTGGACATCAGTCACAGGCACCGTGAACAGCGCGAAAATTGCATCAATAGTTGCAAAAACGTTTCTAGAATTTCATGAAAAAGAATCGTCTGGAAAAGTTATTTTTTTTCAGAATAACGCTCCGTGTCATGTCTCACGAGCGATTAGTCAATTTATTTAAATGAGTACTCTAGTTCACTTATTATTTGTCTTCAAACTTCAGAAAAGATGCGTGACTCTATGGTCCAGTTCATGCAACTTCCTCCTAATATCCCGGATCTCTCAGTTTTCTGTTTTGAAGAGATAGGTCAATGTGCTACCTATGCATTGGACCTCGAAGGCAAAGTGCCATACGTGATGAAGCACAACATAGAAAATGACTTCATGAAAGAGTTGGTGGGTTTGACGCCGAAGAGACTCAAAAACGTTCTAAAGAACAAAAAGAGACTAATCGACTAATGGTGTACACAAACTTTACATCTTATTTACTATCAATGCTAACTTGTTGTTAATAAAAAATGTTCCATTCTCTTTAGTTACCTCCTAACTCATCATGGTCTAGGTCAACCACTACTGAGGAAATGGGTGTATCCGCTGTAATGCCGGGGAGCCTGGGTCTGAAATGGTCAACAGAACAGTTAGTCACAGACAAACGGCGACCACAACA